GAGATCCTAACTAACTAACTAACGGCCTGGACTCAGTCTCTAGGCGCCAACACTGAAATGAGGTGCGTGCACGATCTTACCGACCCGGGTCTGCTTTGCATCCGCTGGTGACTCTGAACAGAACAAATGTCTCTCCAACAAGCATGCGGTATTGCAGTGTATGTTGCTTTGCTCCTCTGCTCTCATCAGCATTCCTGGCAGCAATCTTCCTTTCTCTGAACAGGATCAGGGTCTTGGACACGATCAGCTTCACTTAGTTGCAGCTCTGGTTACTGAGGGATGTTCTCACACCTGGATGCCATCACATTCTCTGCTCACATGGCTCCTGCATTCACCATCCTCCAAAACATGGCTGCTGTCTCTCTCCTTCCTGTTCTCTAAACTCTGTGTGAAAAATCCCACCTCTTCATGAATATAGAATTATCTATGCAGTCTGAGGCTGTGTTAGGAAAACAGTGGCATCTTGTGGCTAAACCGCAGAATGTCTCTCCAGAACATTTATTTTACTCCACACAAACAGTGTTCAAACAATGAGAGCTGTTTCCCCATCTCACAATTCAGTCCAGATATATTCACAATCTCCTGATACAGCTGTTAGCCCCTTAATGAAAAATTGAAAAGAAAGTGGGGGGGTTTAAGAAGACTCCAGCCCTATTCTTTGCTCCAGAGTAGCTTGACACCATCACATTATATATCCAAACTACCTGAAAGTCCTTCACTGTGTACAGCCAAAGCAGAATATATCAAAATAGGGGAGACAAATAGCCATCCACTTTTTGCCACCAAACCAACATATATCAAGTTAGGGAGGGGGGAACAAAAGCTGCAGATCAATCACAGCAGTGATACCGATAGTTATCTCTGTTCACCCCATGTGCATTCCAACCCATGAAAAGGCAAATCTGGCACCCTGCCCATCTCAAGTGGGCTAAATAGTGTCCCAATTGGATCTCCCCGGAAGCAACACCGCTCCCGCTGTGGCCTTGGGCTAAACACCCTGTCTGGCATTTTTATTTATTATTTTATTGCTGTCACTGACACCAGTGTTGGGGGGTATTACTGCAGAATCAAGTTAATAGCACAACTATTTACTTACAAAATGTTCTATTTCTTGATTAAGATTGTGAAGTAGACATTGGGGATGATTTACTAAAACTGGAGCATACAGACTCTGGTCCAGCTGTGCATAGTGACCAATCAACATCTAACTTCAGCTTTTTGAGCTTTGACAATAAAACATAGAAGCTGATTAGATACTATGCACAGTTTTTAGCAGATCCCCTTCATTTTGTTTTATATATATGGCATTCACAATTTCTTGCAAACATTTTTCGCCACATTGGTTGTCTACCCCTGACCTAAGGGGAACAGTGGGAGTCTGTCTCTGGAATACTGTATCAGTTCTATAAAGCAGTTCACTATTTGCAGTAGCTGATCTTTACGCTGTCATTGATGAGCACAGGAGTCTCCATTCAATTTGTACACAATACAGAGGTCTCCTGCATATTATTGACTTTTCTGCTTCAATGTTTTTAGCCTTTAGTGTTGGGCTATTTTCCTTATTGCTCAAATGTTCTTTACCTCTTGCTGGTCAAATGTTCTTGACACTTTTTCCCTTAGGATCGAATGTTAGAGAATGTTACAGACAATGGACAAAAACCTGACATTTTACGCATTTCAGATTATAAACATTGCAGGCATTATTCCTGGTGTGTGCAAAAATGCTGAGACATTCTCACAGCAATTTTTTTTAACTAGACCCCTATTTAATAATTCACAGAAAGTATTGTTCTTTTTCTGATATTGTATTTAGGTCATACCATGCTGTCAGTTTTAATGCTCTTTTATTCACTCCTAAACATCCATGAAGGTGGAATCTGAATCCGTGAGATATGGATCTAACAAGAACTTTGCATCATCCTTCACCCTCTGTAAGCACTTCTCAATCAGTTGTGGTATGTTTTGTAGGGTCTCTCAGGAACCAGTGAAGTGGCATCAGAAAGTTATTCAAGTCACTCAGCATTCCATACAGCAAGCTGTAGAGTGGATTTGGAATCTTCAGCACTCCCCAGTGGTCAAAGCGGATAGTGCAGTTGAAGCTCTATCAGAAGTCCTGGATGACCAGGTTGTAAATGTACTCACATGTAAATGTATTAATGTACTATTTTCTATCAGATAATTATATGGTAAAGTGTATTGCGTGTTTTGTAAGTGGAGTGTTCTGATAGTTGTGAAATGTTATGAGGTTATAGCAATTAGACGTAATAACAGAGTAACAATATTCCTGGCCTAATCAGGTTTTGCCTCCTTTCAGGCAATTGTAGGCTATCAGATAACCAATGTGACTCTTGCAGTCCCTGGCCTTGTAATTTGAAATGTGATCTCACATATAAATATTGAATTGTTACTTGATAGCTAAGACTGTGACCATTTTTTATGAAAGTGTTCAGCGATGATATATGTTGTGCAAGAATTACCTACAAGCAATTTAAGAGTTTTTTGACAATAGTAATGAAAATGTTGAGCCTACAAAACTGCAATAATACCTGCATGCAAGCCAAGAATATTAATATTTAGATGTTTAAAGTCGGATTTTTCATCTGTTTGCAAGTACAAACTTAAAGGGTTTAGTCCAGTTTAGGCCTCATGCACATGGGACGTTTGGTAACTCTCCTAAAAGCCTTTCCTCCTGGCAGTAGTGTTTTGGCAGAAAAAAACACCTGATGCTTATGAAAGTGTGTAACATGTTAAGGCACGTTTACAGGCCAGGGGCGGACTGACCCTTTGGAAACTCAGGCACTGCCCGAGGGCTCGGGGTCAGTAGGGGGCCCCATGAGATGTCCCTGGTACCTTTTTCATAGGCTTTTGTGAGTTTGGGCAAGGACACAGGGGCCCCATGATCCCCTTTTGCCCGGGGGTCCCATGAGTTGTCAGTCCGCCCCTGTTTAGGTCCGCCCCCTTTAAGTTTGCTAAATGCTCCCAGCATTAACAAGCTCTAACAAGTGTTAACACATGTTAACAAGCATCAAGCATTTTTTTTTCTGCCAAAACGCCACTGCTCCTGGACACACTGGTAGTGATTTTTTTTTCCTGCCTCTAAAAGCCCCTACCACTAAATGCTGCAGAGTTTATGTGTGTGTGTGGACAAATAGGATAACATGCAGGGGAGTTTAGAGGCAGGAAAAAAAAATGTCTGATGACCCTAGGAGCAGTTGAAAAAACATCCATTGTGCATGAGGCCTAATAGACCCCTTGGCCCCCACTGTACTTGCCTCTGGGGTTGCTGAGCTGTCAGCACACCTACTCTTCTACTTCTTCTTCATGCATTGCTTCTGGAATGGACCAAAGGGATTCACTGTGATGGCCCTGGCTAATCAGAATCGATTTGTTCTGTCCTGCAAGAGGAGAGAAGAGTGGAGATTTTAAAGTCCAATGCAAAGATTTTGAGGGAGGTTTTGAGCAGATGATTACACAAGATGACCATATTGATTCTGCCCCCAGCAGGCATCGTGCAGTACTGAACAGCTGTGGACAGTAACTGCCCCAGGAGTCTTACTGGTAATTTTGCCAACAGGAATGAACTATTATAAACTCCAGTGCTGGAATTCTTTAACGATGGGTTGAAGATATGATTCACTGGGGCCCAACTGAGGGTTGAGTCATTCATTCGGTCCTTTTGATGGCAAGATTTACAATATTCATCTGCCTTAATACAAATTTTTTGCAGGAGGCATATTTTAGTATATATCAGTCTCCATGGGTATTAATATGTATCACCTCTAACACTGAGCGAGAAATTTTGTTGGGGTTTAAAACAGGAAACAGAGATGAATCCTTAGTGACGGTCTGGAAGATTTTCCTCCGTTGAGATTTAACAAACTGTTGGGTGACAAGACTTAAGAAATCCCATTTCAATTGCTGGCATTTACATTAGTCTCAAGGCTGATATATGAATTGCTAGTATTGATCTGTTTCTAATTGCCATTTATTAAGGATTACAATAAACCTGTCTATATATCATTTGCTCACAAATGACTATTTGCATCTCATATCTAGTGCTGCCTTTGGCTAGATAGTTCGTGGTTGCATGAAAATTGCAGGGCTAGGAATGATGCATGGATTAGTCTGAACCAGCTAAAGGTCCTAAAAGGTATCAAACCCTATATAGATAACATGTACTTTTTGTCTTAGTTAAACACTACCTTGAGTATTCTGCCTATTTGTATAGTCAGGCTAGGATGTCTTATTCTTCTTATTCTTATATCATTATTTTCGAAAATACCTTTCTTGTCAAACTGAAATGGCTCTAATAATACTTATTTTGGCATACTACAGGTGGATGCTGCATATTATTTCTGTGTGGGAGATGTCCCTATGGAAAAGATACAGCACTTACTAACTGGTATTGAGAACAGTCCATGTCCTCTTCATGTCGTCTGCTATAACCCTCACAAAATGGAATGCATGATGATGATGAGGAGTTAAGTCTTCGAACATCTGGAAGGTAAAATCTGTAACCTAATATCCTGCATAAATGTAATATACAATGATAAGCTTCTGATGTAAATTATTTTTATCAATGAATAATATAAAATGTTATTAAAATAATTTAAAAGCAGTTTATCAAGCTGGAAAAGAGCATAGACTAATAAATGCAGAGGTGAGTGAACTAAGGAGTGTCTGAGAATGGAGACAAACTGTGCTTACTTAGATTGCATTCCTAGCAATCAATGTATTATTAATTACAGTATTATGTGAACATGTTTATGTTGTGTACATACAAATGTAATAGCAATAGCTCCACTGGAAGTTTTTGTATAATAGTATGCATCTTGAATATATTTGGCAGCATACAGTAGTTGTCCTGCTATTGAGTAATGTTTACCCCAGGCATAAAGTATATGAACATTTTTTCAGGTAATCGTAACTTGTGTGTACACACGTCAGAAGAAAAAAAAAGTTTTCCATTCTTTTCTAGGTTCCACGTTTGTTTAGAAGAAATGTTACGACAAGATAATAAGAATTCAGAAATGTCCAAAGTAACAACAACTGATAAAGATTGCCCAGGTATAGCCACCTTTTTTTTTCTACTTGAAAACTTATTATCAGTGTACATGTAAGTGAATGTGATGTAATGTAGAAAAACATATTTTGCTCCTATTGATATATGTAGTATTTATTTTCTCTATCAATTAGCAAATGTGTAACAGTATATGAATTAAGGAATTTGTAAGTAGGTGCACATTTGTTCATAGGTTTGTTCATAAGTTTGTAATTATACAGGTAGGCAGGGCAGAAACCAATAACCAACCCACACTGCACTCCAAAACACTCAGCATACCCAAACATCTACCCCAAATACATTCAGCACACAACATTCACCTTTTTATCCTTAGCACTGCAATACAGCCCATTACAATCAGCACACTGCACAATGTACCTTGCTACAATTAACACACCAATCTATACATCCTAATACACTCAGCACACTGACTGCACCATACAAAGGGTTGCCAATAGGGGGGTACAGGCAGGCCACTGTCCCAGGCCCTCCTGCTGACCTGATGAGGCCCAGGATGGCCAGTGTAGTGTCATACAGGACCTGGACCCCATCATGTCTAATGGCTGCCCCTGGGATCCTGCTGAAAACTCATGAAGAGAAGAAGAAACCCCTGTCCACCAGTCTCTGAGTGAGCGATGAAGGGACTAAAGGCAGAGACTGCCTATTCAACTCTCTCAGTAGAGAGGAAGTGTGTGCATGTTGGCCCAATCACTACTAGAGCTTCACTTCTCTTCTGGGACAGCTCGGGTACTTAGATGACACCAGATGACCTTGTGTTTAGATTTCCTCCCTTTCCTTGATCTATGGATCCATATGTTGGCTCTTATATGTTGGGGCACTGAAAGGTATGGCTCATTGCATCATGGGTGGGTGCTGTGTGCTGGACTGTATGTACTTTGGACCTCTGTACTGTGTATGTTATATGCAGCTGACCCCTGGACTCTGTGTGTTAATCACTCCTGACTCCTACATTCTGTACGATACACACTCCTGACCTCACACTACATACATTACTCACATTCCTGATACCTGCACTCTATACATTACATACTTATTACCCCTGTGCTCTGTACATAGGCTGTCCCACTGTTAGCACAATTTGCTGCACCCACTATTAGCGACCACCTCATTTTTCTCCTTTGGCTACCCAAGGGTTCCTCAAAATTTTGACTCCCCTGTGGTGGGGTCCTTTGCCAAGTAAGCTCTATAGGGCCTCATTATTCCACTACATTCAGCATACCACACCATGCATCTTGCTACACTTGACATATGGATCTTTACACCCCAATACACTCAGTACAATGTACTAAACCCCTTGCTGCATTTAGCACACTGCAGCATACACCCTAATACACTCAGCACGCTGCATCAGATATTTCACTGCACTTGGCACCTCAATCTTTACACCCCAATACATTCGACACCTTGCACCACACATCTCACTATGCTTAGAAAACCAATCTGTACACTGTGCTGCTGTACATCTCGCTACACTTAGCACAATGATCTACACACCCCAATATACTCGGCATACTGCAACATACACAGGCCCATTGATGAAGGCGGGGGGGTACAGGTAGCTCTCCCAAACATATCATTACATGTAATTCACCCTTTTGTACACCCTATACACTCAGCACACTGCAATATACACATGACCATTGATGAAGGCGGGAAGGGGCGGGTACAGGCAGCCCTCCCATACAGGGCCCCCCCTGCTGACCTTGCTGGCACATTCTACCATACTTTTCCATTTGCTGTTTGCATACACCTACCACATCTTATACTTGTACTTCAGAGGCCCAGCAGTGGATCAGAAAACTGTCGCTGAGACAAAAATGGAGATGTACTTTAATGTTTATATACCACATGATAATCAGTGTACATATACAACATGTATAATCCGTACAATTAAGTGCTTGTTTCTTCAGCACTTTGCACAATAGGTCATTAACAATATTGCACTTTTAACAATGTGATCAGTGGTGTATCTAGGTTTTGTGCTGCCCTAGGCAACACAGAATTTGCCCCCCCCCCCCCCCCCGAGAGAGCCTGATATTGACCAACAACACCCTGCCCCCCCAACCCGATAGCCTTCCACTACCATTGCCCCCATACACTGGCAACTCCCCTCCCAGCAAGAGAGAGAAAGGCACCCACCTTCACAGCTCTGGACATCCCCGGGAACGAGAGTCAAGCAGCCCGCAGACTCTCAGATCCCACCTGGTCCCCAAGCCACAAGTTTCCCTTCTTTTATCCTTTCTACCAGGGGGGCGGTGCTGCCCCTCTAAAAAATGTCGCCCTAGGCAAATGCCTTGTTTGCCTTTTTGGTAAATACTCCCCTGAATGTAATATGTAGCACAGGGAACATCAGCTTCCCTTATGAGACACTTTCAGATAAAACATAAGCTGTTGTGCCATGCTAAATATCACCCAATGACTTTGTTACTAACATACACTATATATTGCCAAAAGTATTGGGGCCAAAAGTATTAGTTTTAGGAGTTTGTCTATGGGAATGTTTACCTCTGCTCAAGGTAGAGAGACCCCCAATCTCCAAGCACAACTCCTTCTGTAGGTTCCAGCCCAGCTTGTGTGCTGCATAGATGAGAACAAAGGATGTCCGATCGGCTGCACTCCAAACAATCCACTTTATTGAACCAAGATAAAACCAATACAAACAGTGGAAATACAGTGGGGGACTGGCAGGTAAACGCATTTCATGCTAAAGACAGCGTTTATTCGTTACCCAGTGGACCCATGTACAAAGTGTTGGTTTTAAGCGCCAGCAACAGCTGTTCCTTCTAATCAACACTGGGTAAAGACAGTTCTACAACTAACAACAATTTTAACATCCCCAAAGTGCAATGCACAAAATCCAACATACCAACCACAGGACATGTGTTAGAATTCCTCATGTCGCACAATGGAGATGGAAAAATAAAACTGAAAATAAAGCTGTAAAGAATGTATGGGAAGAAGAAACAAAAAACAACATACCATGAAGAAAGCACCACATCATGTATAAATGTACGTATATTGGATTTATCCCAAATAAGAAGATCTACAAATTATAAAAATAGACATGCCTCAGATCAATAACAAGGTCTCTGTCCTTTCCTCACCTTCCCAGATATAATAAAGGCCAAAAAGGCCAATAAGGCAATGGAACAGCCAGAGACACAGAGAATAATCAAAAAAGATCAGCACCAAGTAAACACATGTAGTCAAAAAGTTGGCAAAACATAATCACATCAGAAGGGAAGGGGTGAGTCCATGGCTGGGCAAGGAAGTCACTCATACAAAGGGCCAGGTTTTCACCCTCTCTTGCCAACCTCTACATGGTTTGCTGGGAGAGGGTGAATATAATTGGACCTGGCAACCCGTTCTGTCCCTACATCCAGTTTTTCAGGCGTTACATAGATGATTTGATCTTCATCTGTTTCGTTGAGCTCTGGGATTTGGAAGGTTTTTTGTTGTATCTCAACGACCATGAACTTAACCTCAGCTTCACTGGACAGATGGGCGATCATAGTATTAATTTCTTGGATGTCACACTGAGGGGTTGTGAGGGTGCAGTTGTCACCAATTTGTACAGGAAACCCTTCTCAGGCAATATCATTGTAAGAGCTGACTCAGGACATCCCAAACACGCAGAGGAAATCCCATAGGACAGTTCCTACGATTGCATAGGATTGTAATAAGGATGAACATTTCAATAGAGAGGTGACACACATGAGGGATCGCTTTCTACAGAGAGGTTTTCCGGTGCCCATGATAGATCGTGCTGTGGGTATAGCTAACAATACTGACAGGAACAACTTATTAATAACAAAGGAAAGGTGTAGTTCCAGGCAGGGACCACCAGTTTTCTTCACTGCTTTCAGCCTAGAGTTTGGGAGGATTAAAAGGATCATTGATCGGTATCTTCCCATACTTCTGAGTGATGACATATTTGCACAAATATTGTCCCATGGTACTAAAATTGTTTCTCGACTTGCACCAACTTTGGCCAATACTCTGTCATCTAGCTATTTCTCCTCTAGAAAAACTCAGAGAACATGGCTGAAGTTTAAGGGTAACTATATATAGACGGTTATCCCTTTTGCTCCTGTATTAAGAAAGGGTAGGAATTTAGATCCACGGTTACTGGCACAGTTTACAGGATCAAGAACTTTATCAACTGTAATACTAAGCATGTAATATATATGATCACCTGTAGAATTTGTCAAGTACAATATGTTATATAGGTCGACTAGGAGGCTACGAGATCGCCTCCATGATCATGTTAATGACATGCAAAAGAATCATTCTATCAAAGTCGCTAATCATTTTAACAGTGCTCATGGAGGTGACCTTAGTGCTTTGAACATACAGGGCACCAAGAGGGGGGGAGATGGCTTTAGATTGCTGTGCAAACATTAAATCTTTCGGGTATTTTTCTTTGTGTGCAGGTATTCCTAATGGTTTGTATTTTGAATGGGACCTTACCCATTTTTATGATTGACTTCCTTGCCCAGCCATGGCCTCACCCCCTCCCTCTCTGATGTGATTATGTTTTACCAGATTTTTGACTACATGTGTTTACTTGATGCTGATCTTTTTTTATTATTCTCTGTGTCTCTGCCTGTTCCATCGCCTTACTGGCCTTTATTATATCTGGGATGGTGAGGAAAGGACAGAGACCTTGTTATTGATCTGAGGCATATCTATTTTTATAATTTGTATATCTTGTTATTTAGGATAAATCCAATATACATACGTTTATACATGATATGGTGTTTTCTTCATGGTATGTTGTTTTTTGTTTCTTCTTCCCATACATTCTTTACAGCTTTCCTTTCATTTTTATTTTTGCCATCTCCATTGTGTGACGCGGGAATTCTTGCATATATCCTGTGATTCATGTGTTGGATTTTGTGCGTTGCACTTTGGGTATATTAAAATTGTTGTTAGTTGCAGAACTGTCTTTACCTTTAAATCAGTTTGGTGTAGCAGGAGGTGGACCCAGTGTTGATTAGGAGGAACAGCTGTTGCTGGTGCTTAAAACCAACACTTTGTACATGGGTCCACTGGGTAATGAATAAGCGCTGTCTTTAGCGTGAAACACGTTTACCTGCCAGTCCCAACTGTATTTCCACTGTCTGTATTGGTTTTAACTTGGTTCAATAAGGTGGATTATTTGAGTGCAGCTGATTGGATGTCCTTTGTGTCTATGGGAATGTTTGACCATTCTTCTGTGATTTCTCTGCATTTGTGAGGTCAGGCACTGATGTCGGATGAGAAGGCATGGCTTGCAGTCTCAAAGGTGTTCTATTGGGTTGAGGTCAGGACTTTGTGCAGGCCAGTCAAGTTCCTCCACCCCACACTTGTTCATCCATGTCTTTTATGGACCTTGTTTTGTGCACTGGTGTGCAGTCATGTTCGAACAGGAAAGGGCCATCCCCAAACTGTTCCCACAAAGTTGGGAAAATGAAATTGTCCAAAATGTCTTGGTATGCTGATGCCTTAAGAGTTCCCTTCCCTGGAACTAAGGGGCCAAGCCTAAGCCTTGACAAGCAACCCCGCACCATAATCCCCCCTCCACTAAACTTTACATTTGGCACAACGCAGTCAGGCAAGTACCTTTCTCCTGGCAACCAGCAAACCCAGACATGTCCATCATAACATCTTCACTGCTCTGTAGTCCAGTGGCACATGCTTTACACCACTGCATCTGTTGCTTTGCATTGCACTTGGTGATGTAAGGCTTGAATGCAGCTGCTCAGCCATGGAAACCCATTCCATGAAGCTCTCTATGCACTGTTGTTGTGCTAATCTGAAGGCCCCACAATGTTTAGAGGTCTATAGCCATTGACTCTGCAGACAGTTGGCGACTTCTGTGCACTGTGCGCTTCAGAATGCACTGACATTTTGTGTGGCCTACCACTTTGTGGATGAGTTGCTGTTGCTCCCAGTTGTTTCCACTTTGTTATAATACAACTAGCAGTTGGAATATTTAGTAGCAAGTACATTTCACAGATAGACTTATTGCATACATGGAAACCTATCACTGTACCACGCTTGAATTCACTGAGCTCCTGAGAGTGACCCATTCTTTCACAAATGTTTACAGAAGCAGTCTGCATGCCTAGGTGCTTGATTTTATACACCTATGGCCATATGGAGGTGATTGGAACACCTGAATCCAATGATTTGGAGGGGTGTACCAATACTTTTGGTAATATAGTGTACATAAACACAGAATTATGCAAAAAATAATAAAATACTTTAAAGTATAACTAAAGGCAAAACTTTATTGTTTAGTTTGGACAGAGTAGAGATGGATTATAATAACTGTCAGGTTTTCATTGGTGTCTATGGCTACATTAGGGAGATTCACCCTCTCTAATTGTCATGTTTACTATTATCATTGAAAGTGAAAGTTAAAGAAAATACCAAATTCTGGGTTTGCCCCAGAAAAGCAGTAGCGGGGAAATCTTCCAATGACGTTGCTTCAAGTGAGGCCTAGTCATTATTGCTCACCTCCACATCACTGGAATGAGTTCTCAAATGCTGAGCTCAGAGCTACTGCATCAGGGGAGAGAAAAAACATGTGAGGAGGTTTGAATCAGAGAAAAAGCTAACTCCTGTGATGGTGGAGGTGAGCAGACTAGGCCTCACTTAGGTATGTCCTAGCAAAATCCTGGGAGTATTCACCTCAGGGTTAATGAGGTATGTAATAGACCTGCAACTATAGCAAGGACAATGTTCAACTTTATTGAGAGCTGCACAGTTCGTTTTTATCTACAGACACCCCTTACCTACATAGACAGTTTTTTTTATAAAGATGAACTAACCCTTTAAAGTAATAATACTCTTTGAAATGATTTACATTAAGCTGACTACATTTGCACATATATAAAATCCTATACAGTGCCTATAGATTTCTTCAACAAATAGAGAATTGTCTTGTGCCTATGTAAAGAACTCAAAGCAGCAGCCCAAGGGGAGTTGCTGCCAGACTGCATTAGCAATGCTGCTCCATGATTTCATTGTATTACTGAAGGTGTCAGAGCAATTTATAATGAGATTAGTCACTGTCAGTGTGCCCTAAAGTGCTGCATGGCCAGTCCCCAGGAATAACTCATCTTTGCTTGAAGTGCATGCCTTGTATGACACCCCTTACAATATCAATTGCTCACACAAATCTAGGGTAACCACCTTGTTCAGTTCTTTGATTGCTTAGACTCAGTTGGTGTCTTAGCTACTTTAAATCAGACAAAGAATTTAGAACTTGTTTAACTTATGTGTCCAGTCTCAAAGAAATGTGGTGGCAACCCCACACATGTTATCCTGTATAAAAGTTAGAGGCTGTAGCAACCAGTTATATGTGGACTGTACTGCTGAAGGCTACATGAAGAAAGAATCACTTTCTAACTGGTTGTAAGCTCCATTTGAAACAGTTTGTAGTCAGTACATCTGTAAACTTGATTACAATGGTTGTAAAGGCTCAAGGTTTTTTATCTTCATGCGTCCCCAGTCCCTCCTAATATTCATCTGAGTCCCTTCCCGATCCAGCGATGTGTATGAGAGCAGCGGTTCTCCAGGAACTCTTTCTCCTCATTGGCTAAGACAGTAGCAGCAGCCATTGGCTCTTGCTACTGTCAATCACAGCCAGTTAGCCAGTGAGGAGAGAGAAGTGGTGGAACTGAGCCATGCTCTATGTCTGAATGGACACAGAGAGCAGCAGCTCAGGAGTGAGCCTGTTTGGGTGCTCCCATAGCAAGCTGCTTGCTTTGGGGGCACTTGGAAGGAGGGAGGGGCCAGAAGCGCTGGCAGGGGACCCGAGAAGAGGAGGATCGAGGCTGCTCTGTGCAAAACCATTACACGAAGCAGGTAAGTATGACATGTTTGTTTTTTTTTTTTTTAAAGTCAGCGTTTATTATCACTTTAACTTCTCAGAATATATTTTAGTCAGCAGTTAAACTATTGCTATATACAGCATATTAATATTTTGATATGTAGTAGTAGTTTTTTGCTATGATCATATATTATTTTTATTATTACCTAATGTCTCTGTAGAGACTGATATCAAGAAAGATGAAGAGTTGATTTTGAAGGAGATGGAGGAAGCACAGGACACCCTAAAGCAATTGCAGGATATTTTACAAAAATTGTATTACACAGAAGATGGTAAGTATGACTTGTTCTTTGCAGTTAACTTGATGTGATGTTTGTAGTATATCAGCAGTGCTGATGTGGTGCTGACAAGTACATCTGTTAAGATTCAGATAGATCCCATTGGATCCCAAGTCGGAGCTGTACATGGCATCTTGGCTTTTGCCCAAGTTGAAATTAGGTCTGGCCCCTCCTGATGCTAACATAGGAACTCCAATAAGATCAAATAAGAGTTTACATTTTTGTTTGGAAATGCAATTTAATTCATATTTACAGCTAGCACTGCTTACCGCCCTATTCCATCTGTTTTGTCCTGCCACCTCCTATCTCATTTGCTTAGAAAGCCTAAAGCTGGCCATACACTGTTAGATTTTTGTACAAACATTCATACGAAAAAATGTAATCAGTACATTTGATAATGCAATCAAAGCCTTGACAAATTTTGTTCCAAAGTGCTATAAAATTCTGTTCACTTTTAACAGTTGTTTTTTGAATTTCCCAAAACCCATTCACTGCTGGAATTTCTTTTTGTAACTATTGTCAAAAGCGAACATCAATTTGACCCCATTAACTATTAGACATGGGAACATTCCAAAAATGAAAATTTTCAAACAAAATTCTACTGGCATGTGACCAGCTTTAGTGTAACATTAACAAGATCAGAGGTCATAGCCTTACAAAAAATGCCAGGACTGCAGGCAGTTGGAATAAAAAGGACAGTTTGTCATTGTAACCTAGACCTGACCCTAGAGCAACAGGGCAGACTTTCTCACTGTGTTGCTAGCAGTTTGTTTTGAGCCATACAGACTTAGAGCTGGTTCACTGTAGATGCTGTCCAGTGTGTTTTCTTTCTGCATCAAAAATGCACGCACAGTGTTTTCCATGTATTCCAATGGCCCTAGTTCACACCAGTGCAGTCAGTTCCAGTCAGTTTCCTGTGCAGAAAAAAAAAGTGGAACATTCTGCATTTTTTCTGCACAGAACCATACTGGAACATAGCAAACTGCATCAAATATGCACCGGAACTGCGTGTTGTCTCAACTGTAAGCAAAAAACATATCCAGAATGCATCCGAAGTGTATTTTTGCAGTGTGAACTAGCCCTTAAAACAACCTGTAGAGATCCCTCTCTCCAAAGGACCGTGTACACATTTTACAGATTCACACTTTGGGTTTGTTATTTCTTCTATCATTATTTCAAAATGGTAGATTTGCCATAGTAAGCATAATACAAAAAAGGAAGCATCTAGAGACTTATAGTTATTTCAGGAATAATTTTATTTCACCTTTTCAGCATACTTTTTATGCCTTTAAAATTTAATTTGTTGAAAGATTGACAAATATAACATGGTTAATATGCAACTGAAAGAAGAACTTCATATAATTTAATTTGTAATCTAATGTTGGTTTTCCAGCAACAATGATGTAGTATAGTGTTGTAATATTGTATGTTTTTTTGTTTTGATGCATTGAAACCCTTCTTCAGACTTTATAATTTCTCTGTGTTTATATAGATTCTAACAACAACTATCCTGTATCAGAAGAGACTGCTGAAGACAGTGTAAGCTCAGAAGAATGGCTGACAAAGTTTGGCTTGAAGCCACATAAGCTCCTCTTTCATGATGCCCTAGCAGATTGTGCCTTTCGCCATAGTGATGGTGTTGTGGATATTAAGACCAAACCAGAGGATGAGTCAGTGCAAACAGATGCAGTGAGTGTTGATATTTTACCTTTAATTTATTCCTGCAGGTTGTATCAACACCTGAACCTTATATCTATTGGGGACTCCATATTGTTATCTATGTACCTTGGTTCCCAGGTTCACTCACCTAATTTTGTCCTTACAAAAGGCTCTTTCTAAAGATGGGTACACACTGAGTTTTTTTTTATTCAGTGGGTTTAATGAAAACAAAGCTACAGATTCCTGGATCCACACAGAGAGGTGGATGCAGGAATCTCTACTGCTGTGATATTGTATCCTGACAGCGGGACTCCTCCCCTGTCAGAACACAAAGATCAGCGCTGCTGCCAATGGCTGCAGCAGCTGATCGAATGCAGGTTTTCCAGCAGGAACCTTCAAAATAAGCTAATCTAACAGTTGGTTTCTGTCGAGCAGAGAGGGCTTCATACAGATTAAAATTTGGATCTGTGTGCACCCAGCTTTACTATCCTTGTTGGATTTATATTTTATTTTATGTCATAAAGAAAGACGTCCTTGCTGCAGCAGGAATGTGCCTTCACAGTCTGGAGGGTTAGGACCAGTTATTACAGTACTGTAGCGAGAACCTCCAAAAATTGGTCCACCATCATCCATCATTAAGGGATACGTTTTCTGAGAGGAAAATGGAAGCTGTCATTGCTAACTTTTCCTTCTGGAAACACTAGAAATGTGGGGGCAGGGCATACCATTAGTCTCTGACATGATTCAGAAGAATAGCTTGGGATTCTGCAGGCTATTTGAAGTTACTGCATGCATTTACAGGCACTTATAGATGCCCACACTGTATAGCTGCTGCAGTTTTTCTATAGAGGCTCTCTAAAGCCAGGGAATCAGCATAACATTAAGGAAACTAACATTTTAAGAAGTAAATCAGCAATAGCATCCCCACTGTTCTTTTTGAAATTGGCGTTTTAACTAAAGGTAAGTTTCAGTACATAATACTGTAAAAAAAGTAAATATTAACAGACAATATAATTCAAGATGTAACATATGTCTGTGTAAGTAATCATGTATATCTGAATCTACAGGAAAACAATATGAAACTGATAAATGCCAAGTACTGTGACCAGTTTGCCCATATACTTTGGAAAGATGGTTCTGTCATGCATGTGCATATCAGTAAGGAGAAGTACAGATGGTATGAAGAAAAAATGAAAACTGCATTGGACAAGATGCAAAGAAGGTGACAAAAGAGAACTCTATCACTATAATTTTTTTTAGTGTGTGTAAGTATAGGCTGATATTAGGCCCATGTATACCCAGTCTTACATCTGTTCTTTTCTTAGGGAACAAAGTCTAATGCAGTCATTCTTAATCAGGGTATCTCCAGAAGTGGGGGTCCTTGAGTGATGGCTGACTGACCTATTTTATTATGTATACAGTTAGGTCCATATGTATTTGGACACAGGCACAATTTTAGCTTTTTTCATGTATTTACCAAAACATATTCAAGCTATGGTTATATAATGGATATGGGCTGAAAGTGCACAATAAGGGTATGTACATCCAAATTGGAGGAAGGGTTTAGGAATTAAAGCTCTTAAGAGTAGCCATCCCCAGCAGTTAGACAGGTCAAGGATTATTGTTCTTTTAAACTCTTTTAAAGGCAAATTTGTCTTTATTATAGTTTACAGCAATGTTAACACTATAAAACATGAGAAATAATAATAGCATGGACAAATAAGTGGATAGAAAAAAATCATAGGTGTGTCAATGGTCCATGCGGATGAATGAAAATAAGTCTAAACAACAACTAAATGGAAGTGTTTCAGTAACACCTATTACGGAAGTATAGAGAGAAACAAAAAAAGAACATAGGTTCATGGGGTGCATCCCCAGACTAAATATATGGAACAAAATGTGGAAATTCCGTGAGACCAAAAGTACTGTATAAACCCAAACAGAAAAAAAGAGAAAAGAGTCTACAGGGAAAAGAAAAAAGAAAAAGGGGGAAGTCAATTGTAAGGATAGTGAGGGAGAAAAAGAAGGAGGGTCGGGGGAGATGCGGCAGAAAGCGGAGCCAAGGCGGCCCCACACCAGTATCCCGCCGGTGTGGCACCCGGTATGGGCCACGGTGCCGAACCGGTGAACACGCCAGAACGAGAATGCATTGGGGGAGCAAGGCTCAACTCCTCTAGGATATGGCAGGGGAACACATATCTCTGAGAGTCGAAGAGGAGGAGAAATTAAGCCAGACCGACCACAGTAACTTGTGTTTATCATAGGTGTCATTAGCAAATGCAAGCATCTCCTCCATATGCAAGGTATCATTAAGCACAGAAACCCATATCGGCAGAGGCAGGGAGTGGTCGTTTTCCAAAAGACGGGTATCAATTGTCGGGTCGCGGATAGAAAGAAACGTAACAGACTTTTCTTCTGCGCAGCCATTGAGCCCGGTAATATAGAGAGAAGAGCAATTTTCGGCGAAGGGACCAAGGACTCACCATAGATTTTTTCGTATACAGCAAATACCTGCCGCTAGAAGGGTTGTAATCCCACCAAATATGGAGCTGTGTACCAACAGCTTTAGTACAGCGCCAACATAGATTAGTTGTAAAAGGAAATATTTTGTGTAGGGAGAGGGGGTCCTGGTAGCATTGAGAAAGGAGTTTAAAGTTCTTTTCTTGGGAATATGAAGAGATGGACGATTTATGAGTGAAGTGGAATGACGTGGACATGTCCGCAGCCGATATGTCTTTACCTATGTCCCAAGCCCACGCCTTGGTGTAGGGAGGGAGTTCGGAGTTTGAAGAGCAGTGTGTAACACTTTATAGATGGGAGCTAGGACATGTCTCGTCGGTTCAGAGAGGGAGCACAACCGCTCAAACTCAGTGAGTGGATGGTGTGTGTAGGAGGAGGACTATAAATGTTTGCAAAATGAGGATAGATGTAAAGTGGTCAACCAATCCTTAGGCCCACCTTGAAGGAGTGGGAGACCCGATTGGGGGCAAATAAAGTTTTGGTCTACAGGCCAGGAGGCGTGCATAAAGGGACCAAGAATAGAAGAGCCCAGCCCCGGATGAAGAATGGAGTTATCAAATAGGGATTATAAGGGAGAGGGATCAGATGATAATAAAGCAATGATGCCCTGTTGATACCACAAGCACAGTACAGCCACAGTCAATGGGGACAGACCGGGGAAACGCTGAAGGTCCTGGCTATAACCCCATGGTAAAGCCCGAAGATCAACCTGAGCCAAGTCTTGTTCTATCATACAAGAGGCTTTACGGAAGGGTCTGGGAAACCAACCAAGTCTGGTAAACCCACTCCGCCTCTGAGTTTCGGATAAGTAAGTAACCTATATTTTAACCTTGAAAACCCCCAGTGCCAGATAAATCTAATGGAAAGGGAGACTAGAGAGAGGAAGAAACTCTTAGGGACAGCAATCGGCACTGTCTGAAAAACATAGAGTAACTTGGGTAAGGTTTCCATCTTGAGGGTGTTGATGCGACCGAACCAGGACAGAGTAGAAGCACCCCATGAAGCCAGATCTTTTTGGATACGTGAAAGCAAGGGTAAGTAATTAAGGGAATATAGAGCAGTAAGATTGTCAGAAATCATGATCCCCAGGTACGTAATAGCCTTTGGACGCCATTGAAAAGCGAAATTAGAGTGTAAGTCCACCAACACATGGGCAGGCAAAGATATATTTAAGGCCCCCATTTTAGAGATATTGAGTTTGAATTTACTAAATAAACCAAATCTGCGGAATTCGTGGAAAAGACTGGGGAGTGAAATAAGTGGCTGTTGGACGTAAACTAGAAGTTAATCTGCGTGTAAAGATAATTGATGTGCGGAGGGAGTGCGGACGCCCAAGATTGAGTCATTAGCTCGTATGGCTCTCGCTAAATGTTCCATTACTAAAACAAAGAGAAGAGGCGAGAGGGGGCAACCCTGTCTAGTCCCATTCGATATGGTGAAGGGCAAAGAGACCGTACCAAACACTAGGACAGATAATCCAAGCGAGGAACCGCAAACCCAAACCTATCTGACGCCTTGCCTCCTTTCAAATGAAAGGAGGCAAGCCTTTAAACCATGTTGCTTGATATAAGAGATAAAACCAACCTGATCGTGGTGGATCAGGGTTCGTAGAAAAGGGAAGAGGCGGTTCGCCAAAAGTTTAGCAAAAAGTTTAACGTCCAGATTGAGTAAAGAAATTGGGCGATAGCTACCACAAAGAGTGGGGTCTTTACCCTGCTTAGGGATAATATTGGCGGACAGGAAAGCTGTTGAAAGCACATTCAAATCGTCGATAACATTAAAAGCTTGAGCTAGAAGTGGGGCCAGTTGGGCAGCAAATGTTTTGTAAAGTCGTGGGGTAAACCCATCCGGACCCGGGCACTTACCCGTCTTCAGGGCCTTAACTGCCCCAAGAACTTCCATAGTCGAGAAAGGCTCCTCTAGGTCCAACACATCCTGAGCATCTAGAACAGGCAACGGCGTTTCTGTAATGTATTGTGACATAGCCGGAAGGGAAAAAAACAGAAGGAGCATCAAGAGTCACCGAGGACAGATTGTAAAGTTGACAATAATAACGCTCAAACGCGGAAGAAATTCCTTTATTATGATAGCGTTTAGTATTGTTAAACTTAATATGCTGGATCGGACGATGGAACGGACGGGGGTGGAGTACACACACCAGGTGCTGGCCACATTTATTAACTAGGGAGTAATAAGTGTTGCGTGCTCTGTCTCGTGCAACAAGGGAGGAAGAATCTAAAAGTTGGAGTAAGTCTCTACGAGCGTTAGATAGGTCCACTGAGAGCGCCTGGTCCAACGTGCGTTTGTGAGAATATTCCAGGTGCTCAATGAGTGAAAATAAGCGTCTCCGTTGTGCGAGCCGTTTTTAAAACGAGACCCATGTTTAATAAGAACACATTTGAGAGTGTCTCATTGAGTAAGAGGGCCGGTAGTGTCCAATGTGTGATCAAGAATAAAATGTTGAATAGCCTGCACTACCTCCGCGACACACAAAGAATCTTTGA